CACCTAGTCTGTGAGTTACAGCGGCTGCCCTTCCTGGCGTTTGTTGTAGGAAAGGACAACTTCCGCCCGGTTTTAAGATGGCGTCACGCCAAGCACGGCGCTATATTCCCCGCCCTCTGGCACTTGGTGTAGCCAATGGCTGGCATGGCAGTGCCCTTCCGTCGCTGATTTGTCAGGCTGCATTTCAGTGACACCTCAGCGCGCCCCGATTCGTCCTAGCCTGGGGGAAGAGGGAGCGGCAGTGGGGGACTCAGGTAGGTGGCTCATTGAGCTGTGCGGGTCCTGGGGTATCGCAGCTGTCGGGGGGAAGGGAAAGGAGGAGGAGGAGGGGGGGGGACTGTCAGCGCACCTCTGGGTCCTGCTGGGGAAAGGCCGAGGAGGCAGCTCCAGCGGCAGTAGCAGCTCCCCAAGGCTGAAGGGCCTCCGTGGTGAGGCCATTGGCATCGCCACCAGCCGAAAGGCTGCACCTGCTGAGATTTTGAACCTTTATTTTCATGCCTGGCCAATGCCCCCTGAAGCAAGCAACGTGCCCTGCAAAGAAGATGGGCAGCCCCCCACTTGTTTACCTTCCCCTGAATGGGGATGCGCATGCAATGGGATCTGAACCACACTTGGTTGTTTTGGATTTATATAATGGAACAAGAACATTTTTGTAATCACACCTTTTTTGCCCATGTGAATAGGCTTCAGCAAATCTGAGACTTTATTCACTGCAGCAGAATTGCTGCCTTCTGAAATCACGTTTGGTTTGAAAATTTTAGGCTTAGCTCAATGGCCAGTAAACTACATGATGGCCCCACTGCAATAGGGTGACTCTTTACAAAATATTTTAAAATGGTCTGAGTTGCAAGCTCTTCTGAATCATTCTATTATGATTCATACAGTAATAGATCACATAATCCTAGTATACAAATACAGTCTATTACAGGGGTTAGCAATCTTCAACATGCAGCCCATCAGGGTAATCCACTCTTGTGCTGAGACATTTTGTTTACATTGACTGCCTGTAAGTACAGCCCCCTGCAGTTCCCATTGGCTGTGGTTCACCATTTCCAGCCAATGGACCTGCAGAAAGTGGCAACAAAACATCTCACAGTAGATTACCCTGATGGACAGTGCGCCAAAGGTTGCTGACCCCTAATCTATTAGTACAAATTTCCTTTTATTGAATGAGAGAAATTCGACTTTGTGATTCTCTGAAATGAGCTTTCAAAAAAATCTGAAAACATTTTCTTTATTTAGATATAGGGGTGGGCAAAGAATCAAATGTAGATATAAATATTGGTTTACAATTGATGCTGACAGATTATCACATACATTTTTTTCAGGAGTTCTCCATAATGAAAATGATTGAGAATGTTGACTCTGTAGTGACTAGGTCAAGCCAAGACCTCTGGGCTGAAATCTGTTCATGTCTGCCAGATCCAAACCTGAAAGAAGGCTCTAGAGATGCTTTTGCAGATTCCTTCACAGATTCTTACATCAGTGGAAAAAGCCAGGATGAAGAACTGTGTGGTTCTTTCCAAGCAAATCTGAAACCCTGGGCACCTCTGAAAGATTCAGAGATATATTTAGCATCACTAGGTGAGTGTATGATAAAATACTGATTTCTGAGATTGCTTCAGTCGGAAAATAAGTTTTGAGAATGTGGTGTCTTCTGTCAGTGTCAACATTAACGATTTAACATTGCACAAAGAACTGATGTCAGTATGTGCAGAGTGTGCAAGAAAGAAGGATGGTCAAATTAATGTGATTGTGGCTCAGGGAAGGATGGTCAAACTAATGTGATTATGGTTCATCCGCCTCACCAGCCACCATGCTCCACTCCCAACCCAACTGGACTGCCGGTCACCAGCCTCCTGGCGCCAACCCAACTGGGTTCTTGGCCCTGGCAGGGCTCCCAGCTCCACTTGCTGGGGCTCTGTTATCCAGGAACATCTGAGGTCCTGCTGGACCATGGATGTTGCCAATCATATAGTCCCAGTTTAGAAAGGTTCATCCTATACAGGCAGTCCCCGGGTTACATGGATCCGACTTACATCGGATCCCTACTTACAAACAGGGTGAGGCAACCCCGCACTAGCTGCTTCCCCCCAAGCAAACCAGGGAGACGCGAAGCTAGCGCCCTCCCCCCCCCCAGCAGACCAGGAAGACGCGGAGCGGCTTTTTTCAGCAGACACCTCAGCTTGAGAATAAAGGACTAAGGGAAGTGAGGTATGGGAGAATAAAACTGAGCTCTGGAGAAATGTTTGGCTAGAGTTTCCCCTACATTATGTACCAGCATACAAATTCAACTTAAGAACAAACCTACAGTCCCTATCTTGTACGTAACCCGGGGACTGCCTGTACTGGCAATTGGAGGAGCTGCAAAATTAGTTTGATGGAACTTCAGTTGAGCTGTTAAAACTAAGGCCCTTTCTACACATTTCTGGGTATTTCTGTGAGTGAATTAAAGATCCCACACCTTCTTTCAAAAGTAACCACAGTTCCCCCTCTGAAGAAAATAGCTTCCACTACATTTAACTATGTTTTGAACTCATGATGACTCCAGTGCCTGCATTACCAGTATCTAATCATTCTATCAAATATGTTATGTACTTAGAGAAAGAAGTGTAGTTTACTGTTGATCTGTGGTCATCATCCAGGTGGGGGCATGGGGACTCAAAATCAGTAGCAGTGATACTTTCTTGCTCTTTCACTAAAGAGACTAAAAAAAAGAGACACTCGCAGTAATTGTTCAATTCTTTATAATTTGACTATCCTTCTTTCTTGCACACTGGGCACATTCTGACATCAGTTCTTTTTTTGTGCATTAGTTGTTAAATAGTTAATGTTGACACTTACAGTCTTATGAATAAGCTTCAGAGTCTGTATCTTGTTGCAACAAATGTGTTTTGCACATATTGTTTCATCCTGTGAGTGGAGTTGGGCAGATACCTCAAAGTTTAAAAATCTTTGCAACCAAAAGGGCTAGAGACTTATTTTCTTTTCAAATGACATTAGAGTCTGGAGCACAATATGACAGCCTCCAAAAAGAAATACTGGCCTGCTATGGCACCACAAAAAGCTAGCCAAATTTGACTCCTTTCTATGACACTGTTCTCGGTCAAAACTACAGTGAGTGGTAGTTAATATATAAGCCAAATAAAGAAGAAATCCACTATGATTTTTTAAAACAAAACATTGTTTTAAGCATTATGCACTCATCCAGATTTCAAGTAGTAGTAAAATGGTTAACTTTTAAATATTTAATCAGGTGGAGTTAATCTAACCCTTTGGATTTAAACTCTTGTCATAATTGCCTGTTTTTATTTTAATTCAATAACGCATTTTTTCTTTGCCTCAGAGAGAAGACTGATGAGAGTTAAAGGTTTGTCTCAGGAAGTGACTTCCAAGGATATGCTACACACTCTGGCCCAAGCTAAGAAGGAATGCTGGGATAGGTTCCTGCAGGAGAAGTTTGAGTCTGAATGTTATGTGGAGGGACATGAATCTGAAGAGAGGTAACAAGCATGATGAAATTTCAGGGACTACCATTAGTAAATAGAGCAGAACTTTCTTTTAAAAGACTAAAATAAAATTGTTGGAGACTTCTAGTGAAGTGTGTGTGTGGGAATTACAGCAATACAGTAATATTGATACTTATCGCTTTGCATTTTCCAAGCTTTTGACTGATGTTATCACAGCATTTCAATGAGACAGGAAAGTAGTCATTAACTCCAGTTTATACAGAGGATAAGCGTGGCAAAGAAAGTAAGACCTGAATTTTCAAAAGTTCACTAATAGCGTGTGCCTCAATTTTGGGATGTCCAGCTTGAGACATGTTGGGCCTGCTTTTCATAGATGCTATGGTTTCTATCTCTTTCTTTAAAGTGGTGGGTGGTCAGGCCTGCTGAAAATATGTCAGTGTGTGTCTCAGTTGGGAGATGTCTGAAAATTTAGACCTTAACCTACAGTGAAAAGCTTCATGCAGGCTAGCTCCTGCATCTGTGTAGAGCCCCACTCCAGCAATGGATATACCTGCAGGGAACTTGTTGCAAGATCAGTTCCAGGGCAGGAATTGGTATCAGAGCTCAGATTAGAACGATTGAGTTCCTGGCTTCTGTTTCTATGCTCAGCCTTGTAGTGGTCTTGTGGGCTCCCTCTTCCTCTGAAGAAACTTTTATATAAGTGCTAAGTTTTAGCATCCTCATTGGATATGTTAGTAAAGGAAATAGAATTCCACAGCACAACTGTTCCAATTCCATCTCATGAAAGAGGCTGTTTCCTATACTTTAAACTGTAGTCCATTAGAGAAGGTGTCCTGACTCGTCACCTTTACAGATGCCATTAAAAGCTCATATGGGGATCTTCTTGGGCACAGCAGATTCCTGTTTCTTCCTTAGTGCACAGCTTAGTACCTATCCTTCCCTATAGGAGAGCATATAAAATGGAAGAAAGGCCTGTGGAGGGTTAACACTAAACTCATTTTATAATTAAATACTGGCTTTTACTGCTGCTTTATATTTAACTTCTCCCTTCTGCTTCCCCTCAGCACACTGGAACTTTTAAAACGGTGGCTGCAGCCTGATAAAGTGGCAATCAGTACTGAAGAGGTACAATACCTGATTCCCCCAGAATCCCATGTAGAGAAGCAAGAAACTGAAGAGTCTCCAGCAGCAGAACAATGAAATGCACTCCAACCATGTGAAGCAGATGTGCAAGGACTTATGGAGCTGCATTTAATGGCAGTAATAAAAGGGGAGGGCAAGGAAATTGCCAATATTTGTTCAGTAAGGGGAAGAGCTATGGACATACAGAGGATAACATTTAATTTGTTATCGGAAGGAGTGATGCGTCTTGTAACTCAGTGCATGCTGGGCTTATCTTGCTTTTATCTACTTAATTTCTCATCTTGTAACAAACCTGTCATTCCAGTTTTTAAGAAAGTTATTTGTAATTTACTGAGATAACTGAACATAAAGAAGCTGGTCAAAAAAGGTGATGTCCTAGAGTAGAGCAGACCAGAAAAGACTGAGTCATTTCTTCCTGTCTTGTACCCTCTCTTTGTGGTTACATCTTTCCTATTATTAGCTTCATGGACTTTATTTGTTGATCTGTTATAATAATTCCACTGTAAAGTTTACTGCAAGTCTCCATAATTTGTGCTTGAGTTGGCCCTAAACTATATCCTGGATTGATGAGAAACATTTGCCTTGTTTGGATTTGGTGCAAACTGAAGGCGATCCTACTTTCCAATGATGATTATCAAAACCTGTTTAACATTTTTCTCTTTATAATGTACTATCCTGGAATATCATACTGGATATGCTACACTGCTGCTTTTTGTCGGAAAAAGATACGCAAATTGTACTTTGCAATTTGCACACCTTTTTCCAATTGGTTTTTTTGGAAGAGGCTTTTTCGAAATTTGGCCTGTCTACACTGGGCCAAATTTCAGAAAAACCTCCTCTTTTGGAAGAACCCTTCTTCCTCATGAAATGAGGAATGCAGGGCTTCCAAAAGAGCGCATCTTCTGCAAAAAATGTCGAAAGAGCAGACGCGTTCCGTGGACGCGGCGGAGTTTTTCTGTGATACTGGAGGTATCCTGGAGAAACTCTGTAGTAGTCTAGACATAACCACTTAATGGACCTTCAGTTATTCTTGTATGAAAAGAGGTTTTTCTTACTTTTTTTCCTCTGTTTGATTTGTTGTCCCTCGACCACCCCTGGAGAGGGTAGGGTTAGATTCTAAATCTAAATAAGTAGATGAGACAAATGATTAATGCATTATTTTCATGTTAAATAGTTCCTTGTGAGTCTGGCAGTAAGCCTTTTGCTATATATATTTTATCTATACCAAGTAGTCTGCCATCATAACTCGGAGAGTCTGTAATCCTGACCTTTGTATGAGACTGATCCTTCTAATTATTGGATAGCTGCAGTTTCTTATCTGCTATCAAAGAGAGCAATGGTTTATATCTTCTGTTGGAGACAGATCTTAAAAAGGGAGCAATTAATTCAAGTATCTTACATAGCTACAGATGTTAGGTAGCAAATATGGATCTGTGAAAATGCATCATATAGAGAGCTGATCTTCTGTTGACCCACAGCTGGGCAGAATTTGAAATATTAATGCCACTGAAAACCCAGTCTAAGTGTTTTCTTCAATACAAAGCTATTTATTTGAAAGAATCACAGTTTAGCAGCAAAACGGTTTTACAGTACTTCTTTCCAATAAGCCTTAATTCCCTAAGCATAAACCTTTAGTAACTATGTTGGCCCTACCCATTATCCTGATTGGTAAATAAAGCAGGTATAGCTACCAGTCCTAGATGAAGACTTTTTTTTTCTTCTCAAGCACTTGGATAGTCAAATGTCCCCCTGGGAAGGGTGTTGGGTGCCTTGAAACCTTATGACCCAAAGTCTCTTAAAAGTAAAGTACAGTAGATTACATCCTGACTTATGGATGGGTGGCCTGCATGGCCCGGTGTGGTGGGGGGCTGCGCAGGCCACCCATTGGCCTCTCCCTGAGGCAGCAGAGGCCTCACAAGCTGCCTGGCAGCTTTGCCCTGGGACCGGCTTGCGGTTGCAGGGGCTGCGTGGTATGGCTCACTGCTACTCTCTGGGAGCGAGCGTGGGTGGCAGGGGCCATGTGGCAGCTGCTCACTGGAGATGAGGCACTTGTAACTCCCCTGTGGTCAGTCAGGAGTATAACTATCCCGCATGTTTGCTGTTCTCTTGTGATAATTCATGAGTGTAACTATCCCTGCTATCACACTTCTCCCTTTCTGTTTGATGCAAAACAAGCACATTACATGCACATCCCATTGTTCTGGCACAATCAAACCCTGACCTTCTTTAAATTATAAGAGGAAGCTGCATACCAAATTTGGTAGTCCTAGCTCTTACTGTTTGGGAGGAGTTCTTGAACAAATGGACTCACAGATGGACAGACAGACAGATGCACATTTCTAAAATATATAGCAAGATAAAAGCTGATTTTCCTCCAGACAGCAGGAAAGCACAACTTCCAAGAAATGAAATCTATAGCGTACCATAAGCAACCTACAAAAATGTCCAGAACAAGTCCTTTCAGGAAAAGAAACAAAAGCAAATCCAAACAGGAGAAAATAACGCTTCATAAACCTACCTGAATTTCACTCCAATGCATCTGTGGGAAAGTGGAAATAAACAAGCTGCATAAGAAGTAAGTTTGAATCTAAAATGCTTCTAAACACTGAACAAGCCAATAAAATAACAAGAAGATGTTACGTGTTTTACCACTGGCTTCCACATTAGGAAATAAAAAGATAGTATCCTTATGTGCACTAGGACAGTGGTTCCCAACTACAAGTCTGCAACACTACCAGACTATGCCCCCATAGCTTTCATGATCGTCTTGACAGCAGTTCTGGTGGCTGGAACCATGCAGATGGTGGCTGGGGCTAGAGCCAATAATATGTTTAACTGGTTAACCATGGAACAAGCAGCCCCTCCCCTGCTTGCGGTATGATGCAGCAGGCTTGGCCGGAGCAATCCCCTACCTGTGGTATGATGGGCTTGCCTGAGCTGCTTCTCCAGCCCAGCTGGGCCCTTGTTCCATGGGTTGCTCTGGGCAGGCCTGGCTGAGCCTGCTGCAATGTGGGCAGGAGCTGCACAGGCTGGGCCCACCATGCTACACCACAGGCAGGGAGTTGTTCCAACACACTTGCAGCACCACTGGAACAGCCCCCAGTATGACATGATGTGGGTGTGCCGCGCCGGGCTGGAGCAGCCACTCTGCTCGCTGCTCCAGCTCTACCAGGCCACCCGTTAACTGGTTACCCCTTAACATCCCTATCCCCGACTCCTTATATAGCTTTTAACTCTCCTTAGCTTTCTATCCTTCTCTATTGGTATTTTTCTTTAATCTCAGTATGAAATGACTTTTTTCTTAAATTTGTCAGAAGTGTAGCTAATTCTGATATCTGTCACAGCTCAGCAGTACTCTGACAATAGTTCATATTTAATGTAGAGGAGAATAAAGTTAAAAAGGTTCTGTAATAAAATAGGAATTCTGGTTTTTTAAGGAAAATTAGTTTCAGGTTGACTCCTCCAATCAGGACAATTGATATGGTAAAGCAGGGTTACTCAACTTTGGAAGCCCTGAAGGCAACAATAATACTCAAAGCACATGCCAAAGGCTGAGATTTAAGTCTGGTTGCATATACATGGAAATATATAGGCTAATATATGCAAATAGCTTCTTTCACACTGACAGGCATGAATTCAAAGATTAAGGCAAGACTACACAACACGCAGGCCCCATTTAAGTCAGTTCTGCTGATATTAATAAAGTGCAATATTTACCTATTTCCACCCATATGACAGCATTTTTAATGAGCAATGACAGTCCAAGGATTTAACTACTAAAACACATATCAACAGAAGACTGTTATATTGACTATTTTTTTGTTTTGGCTTCACAACAGTTCAGGGATTTAACTACTAAACCACGTATCAACCTAAACCACCTCGTAAACCCAAATCGCACCATGGGCCACAAACAAACGGGCTGCATGCAGGCCGTGTGTTGAGTAGCCCTGTGGTAAAGGATCATGGTCATTAGGCCTGGTCTGCACTTAAAAATTAGACTGACCTAGGTGTAATAAAGTAGGGGAGTTTCCCTTCTTAATTTTTAACAGGAGTGTTACTGTTTGCATGAACACTGTGTGTGCCTCAGTTTCCCTGTGTATTGCACCAATGTCTAGGAGGTTGTGGGGGTAAGGGTGTGAAATTTTTGTGGAGGTTGCTCCAGCTGCCTGCACATAAGCTATGGCCAGCCCCTTTGCAACCTGAACCCCAGGAGGTGGATGTGACCAGGTGGTTCTTGGCCCAGGAAGAGACACAAAGGCTGAAGGAAGACAAGAGACATGTCTGGGGCCAAGCAGCTGGAAGTGGATCAGTCTTGTCTAGCTGGATGCACAGGGTTGGGCAAGAACCATAGCTCTGGGCTCTCCTTCTCTCAAGATGGACTTGACTGAATTCTCCTGTTTTCTATGCTAACAACCTCTGTTCTAAGCCATGTCCCAGTCTAAAAACATGATTCTAGGATGCATTAACAAGTGTGTTGTGAGCAAGACATGAGAAGGCATTCTTCCGTTCTACTCTGCGCTGATTAGGCCTCAGTTGGAGTATTGCGTCCAGTTCTGGGCACCTCATTTCAAGAACGATGTGGAGAAATTGGAAAAGGTCCAGAGAAGAACAACAAGAATGATTAAAGGTCTAGAGAACATAACCTATGAAGGAAGACTGAAAGAATTGGGCTTGTTTAGTTTAGAAAAGAGACAATTGAGAGAGGACATGATAGCGGTTTTCAGGTATCTAAAAGGGTGTCACAAGGAGGAGGGAGAAAACTTGTTCTTCCTGGCCTCTGAGGATAGAACAAGAAGCAATGGGCTTAAACTGCAGCAAGGGAAGTTTAGGTTGGACATTAGGAAAAAGTTCCTAACTGTCAGGGTGGTTAAACACTGGAATAAATTACCTAAGGAGGTTGTGGAATCTCCGTCTCTGGAGATATTCAAGATAGATATTTATCTAACCTATCAGGGATGGTCTAGACAGTATTGGGTCCTGCCATGAGGGCAGGGGACTAGACTCGATGACCTCTCAAGGTCCCTTCCAGTCCTAGTAGTCTATGATTCTATTATTCATTTTACATGCTGGCTGAGAGTTACTACTCACTGCTGAGTTGGGGGCGCAGGATCTTCTGGCTCTCCCAGGAACCCTGCCTGGTAAGACTTGATGTTAGGAAAGCACAGTGTGGATGGGGATGCTATCAGATCATGGCAATCCAAGTTTGATGCTACTTCCTTCTCAATGGACAGAATAACAAGTCCACCCAGCCTCTCGAGACATAATTGTCCTCAGGTAGTTCTTAATTTTTAATTTGAAAAAAACGTCACTCTCCCGAAGCGCCTATGACTGGGATTGGCAGCAAAATCCTGTCTGCTAATGATGTGTTTGGGACTGCACTGTCAAGTGATTTAAGAAATTGTAGTGCAGTACTTTTTCCCTCGGGGTTGAATTCTTGTAGCACCTGAAGCTCTCTCTGCTTGCCTGAGCTAGCCATTGTATGCTAGCTGGGGGTGTAGATGTGCTAGAGTGCAGAGCTGGGGTGCATTGGCCCTGGAGGAGCAGCAGAGTGCAGGCATGAGGTGTGCAGGGAGCTGGAGGTACACTAAAAGAGCTGGATAGTTCTATGCTTTTCTCACCTGACCCATCAAGATTTCACCCCTCCCCGACCACCCATCTCCACTTATCTCCTTCCCCACAATCCCCTCACCCCACACCACTCTCCCTCTATTTATCCATGCCTTTGACTCCTAGTACTGCTCCCTGCCCAGGAAACATTCACAAGCCTAATCTCATTTCTCCTACCGCACCTCCCCCCTCCCCCCCGCGTGCCAGGCAGATTACATTCTCATCAAAATCAAATTGCCACCACTCATGACTCACAAATTGCTCTCTGTTTAACAGAACAGAAGGAAACAGGCTGGGGGAGGCAGCCTGTTAAATGACCCCAAATTTAGTTCACTAGAGCTACTCTGCATCCCCAGGAGACAAATTTCCAGACAATCAGAGGAACCATTCAGATTCTAGAGCACTTAAGAAAGGTTGAGTTTTAAAGCTCTTAAATTGGGGGAGTTATTGGAAACCCTCTGCTGTTTTTCTGTAATTGGCCAGCCCTGGTGGGTGGTGGTGGAGGAGTTGTGGGTCCCTAGGTCCTGGTACTGTGGGAAGGGGAACCTCAAGGCTGGAGCCGGCTGCTGGAAAACTGAAGAAAGACAAGAAGGACGTGGGACAGTGGCGTGTTAAGGTCTAGAGTCCCGTCCTGGGTCTGGGAGAAGGGAGGGGCACTGTGGGACACCAGTTTGGGGCTATCAGTGAGGGGCTCTGATGGAGAATGAAGGTGGCTGCTGGCACTTACCTGTGATAGAAGGGGCCCCCTGTACTGGTGGAGGGTCCCACTGCTGGAAAAGGGAAGGGTCCCTCCCTCCAAGGTAGAAGCCTGGAAGGGCAGGGGCAGGCACTAGTGTGGTGAAAAACTAGGACCCTGCAGGAAGCAGCAGGCAATTCCAGCAGGGTGTGTGGGTGTGTGGGGGGGAGGGGGAGAACAGGGAATAGCCAACTGAGCAGCTCAAGCCTGGGGGGCTGTGGGGAAAAACAAAAATAAATAAATATGGGGGGGAGGGGGGAATGACCCCCTACTGCCAGCACTAGTCCCTGTCTATCCCCTGCGTGCCCTTAATGCACAGGGCACCCAGGGTGGCTGCCCCACTTCATCCTATGGA